TGTTCAAATATAATGCAGGATTTATTTATTATAATTATACAAAAATGTTTACATGTGTTCTTAGTGAAAATGAAAAATCATACGACTATACTATATATAATAAGAACGATGTAGGGACTAAAATAACTGTACATTATCATTCATCCGCTTAACCTCTATAAATTATCTACTAATCAATACGTTCTTTGTTGCGTCGACACATAAGGATGTCAGCGAATAAACAATTAGCAATGTTTACAGTAATCATCGATAACGTTTAAACAAACGAAATCTGTTTTTACTCACCGATTGTAACTAAAGACTAATATTTGAGTGGGCTTATGGTCTAACGAAATATATTCAACGTTATTGACATATTTTAATTTTATGGTCGATACAAACAAATTCAAATTGAGCAGGTACACTAATAACACAAAAGTTTTTTTTCGCGGTATTCATACAACATAAAATATAGTAAATATCATGCTTGTCAATCTGAAATACGATCAATAATAATAATAATAATAATAGACTAAAAGTGATACATTTTTACATAAATTAGTGAATATTACGAGTCTAAATATAAAATATAATAAATAACATAAGGTTTATTTTAATTTTTGAACCACCATTGTTTAAAAAAAAAAAGAAGAATTCATAAACTTGTAAATGGAATAAAAATAGCGAAATAAAAAGGTCTTAAGTAACACACAATTTTTTTTATAATTTTATTTAAAATTTAAAAAGTTTTAGTTTCATAAAAACTGCATAGGGCCTATTTCATATGAATAAAAATTTAAATCGTTAAACTTTACATCATTAGTTTTATATGACAAAAGTTTTGTACAGCAAAATAACTTTCGAAACTATTATAACCCTTTTGATACAATATAAATAGCAATATAACCCTTTTAAACACGCGTTCAATATATCTCTTTGAAATAGCCCATTTAAGTATATCGATGGGGCATTATCAACTGATTATTTAATACAACTAATATTGGATTACATAGTTAAATTTTGGGTATAGTAAATATTAAGCATGCACAAGAACTCAATGATATACCTAAGTAAATTTAAAACATCAACCGTTTTAGATGATACACATTATATACATACATATATGTATATATATATATATATATATATTACTGGGTTCATTTAGAAACCTTAATTATTATTAAATTTTTAGTTGTTAAACTATAAATAATATCCAATATTGTTTAAATTGTAATATTTTTCTTCGTAAACTAATATTTTGGTATTGTAAATATTTTAATAATGTATAGGAATATAAATATAATTTTCATTCATAAATATATTACACAGTACTACATGCGTTAATTGGATAGATCCAATTATATATTCCATTTTCAGCCAACAATAGCTAGAATATTCAATTAAAATGCCCGTCTAGTTACAAGTTGGTATTAAATTGAACTTTTTTTTATAGATAAAATATAAATCGTTGTAGGTACACTTTTTAATAATATTATAATGTAAATAAATTATTTTATGATCATCTCTTTATATGAGTAAACGTTAAAGACGAATTACATAATTTCAAATTAATCAGATCATCACATAGGTGTATCATAAATATGTTTTAATTAGATAACTATAATTAATTATACGAGTACGAACATAATGAGTAAGTGGCTTACCATTTACCAGGTACTTCTAATAAAATAGTATACAACTGTAGCTTATGATTAATGTAGTATAATTGTGGGCAACAACTCGTTTTAATTATAAATTATTATTTTTAGGTAAAATTGTTCGTTCTGCAAATAAAAACACAACTATTAAAGTAGATCTCTAGTAATAATTCCCATTTAAAACTGTTATCGATTCATATAGAGTCCTGAATGGACTACAAACTTGACTCACCGAAATAACGTTATTATGATGAGTTTAAAACATGCGTTGAAATTGTTCTCAACCCTAAAACCCAAATTGACTTAAACGCAATCAATGAATACGACTATATCACACGGGTAATTGAACATTCAAGTCAATTGGTAAATACTTATTATGCCGTCTAGGTTAAGGCAAATCATCAGAGACATTTACAATTTATTAATAGCCAAATGTCAGGAAATCTCTCGATCCACCAATATCTGTAAGTAAATGTAAATTAGAGTGCTTTTCGGTCAAATAATGGACGCAATAAAAGCCTTGACCGACAGCGTGATAAAAGATCCACACGAAGCGGAGAGCTGAAAAAGAGGCTACAAAGAGCGACAAAATGAAAGCGGAAAGTCCTGCAAAAGGATGTAGTGGATACAGTGAGCAAAGGCAAAAGGCGATGAGCGTGCAATCGCCCAGTTTTCGTCAGCGTAAAGGTCGCCTAATCAGTATGTTCATTTGTTGCATGGGCACGCCGGCTGTCACTCGCATACATTCCCGAGCGGCATACGAGAGAGTAATATGTATAAGGAAAGAAAATAAATGCGAAATGGACAAAGACATAAACGAAAAGATCACTGCCAAATCGGTTATCTTTTAAAAAGATATTGCACGGCAAATAAAGAAAAAATCCTTTGCCGTCTGGTTTTTTTTTCTTTTTTAGTTTATACATCGTTTTCTTTAAAGATTATATCACGCAAACGAATCTTTTTAAACATTTTTCCTTTATGCTTAAAAGGCTTTGGAAAACCCGGGAGAATCGTTCGGAATTTAAATGAGACCAGATTTCTAACAAAATACTTATTTTTCGCATCTCGTGTGTCTCAATCTGTAACAAATTGTTAAAAAAATTATAGTCCTGTACGCAAAAAGCAGACGATGTACAATTTAGATACTCGTTTAACTACAAACCGTGCATCCTTTATATTTTACATAAATTACGATTCCTAATCAGCTTAATCATTTTTTAATGACATTTAATACAATATACTAATGGTCTACCTTTCGTATTCATTCATTCCAATTTTTACAAGTAGTCTAATGAAGAATGGCTCAAATAAATCAAATAAGACTTCAAACACGATAAATATTGATTAAAAGATGAATCGGCTTAATGACAATCCATTTATATTTTTAGATTATTATTTTCGTTATCTACAAATAATACAGCAGATTAATAATTTAATATTAAGTTCTCTACCCGGTTATATTAGGTACAACATTCCATTAAATTATTTATACCTAATTAAAATAGTAATCTATAAACTTATTATATTATAATTTCTAGTGAAGCAATAAGAAAAAAACAAAATTTGCTCCTCCTCAGAATTGTTGAAAGGAAAAATAAATATAATTATTGTAATGTATTAACGACTTCGAAATAATATGAGATCTTTAATTTGATTTGATAGGTATTTAAAAGAAACGAAAAATAATATCCCCTACAGTCTATAATTCTATATCATCATCAATTTAAACTTGATTTCGCAATATTATTAGCTAATTATATTATACTATTCTAATTTATTACTATAGTATATAATATGTATATAATAAATATATTATACATTTTAATTATAGTTAAATTGTATACAAATTTCACACCATTGCATTTTATTTTATAAAGATTTTAGGTTTAACAATCATAATTTATTTTCAAAATTTTATCGTTGAAATGAAATAATTGAATATAAATAATTTCTTCAGAAATCGATTTTATTAAACCAAGTACCAAATGAAATTTATAAAACGATTTTTAAACTAATTAAGTGCTAAACTGTATCATAATTTTAAAAATCAATAGATCCTATTGAAAAATTAATATGTTATTAAAATAGGTATTTAATTTTCAATTTTTATCAAAAAACGTAATCGTTTTATGAAAACACATTAATTTTTTGGAAAATGCATTTTTTGGGAGCAATAAAGGTTCCGTACAATTCCTCAATTGGTCATAAAAAAAAAGGTTAAATATTTTTTTTCACTATGGTTTCTACAGTAATCATAATTAAATTTGTTAATTACTCGTATTATTATAATAATTAATAATAATAAATATACCTATGTAATAATTAATAACACAACAGATGAGAACTCAATTAATTTATAGATACCACATATTTTATAACTCTATTATATGATACGAAAAACTTTCTTAAAAATAAAAGTTTTATAACGGAAGAAAAATAACTATTTTTTTACGTGTACAATGTACATAGTATGTATTTAATATAAATTTATAGTTATAAACTTACAATAAAAAATTACAACTTAAAAATATTGTGTAGATTCCATTTTTCTTATTTCAAATTAATTATTCTAATATAATTTAATTTAAATTTAATTTGTTTAATGACAATAGATTGCTTTCAAATATAAGATATATCATCTGTCGGATAAAATGTAATGACATTTTTCTTCTATGTCTATATATAATACGTATTAAGTAATAATATTTTATTGAAAATATTCAATCTTTAATATTTTTCACATTATTATTGATGTACCTACATAAAAATAGACTTATTCAACCAGTTTCTAATTTTTCGACAGATCTCAAATTACAAAATTTGTTATTATTTGTTCATGTGTATTTATTATACGATTACTATAAAATTAAATTAAATAATAATTGCAAACATTGACATTTTTATAAAATATCGTTGCAGTCGACTTGTCGCCAAGAAATTCACTTTTTCTTTAGGCAATATATAATAATTATGTTGTCAACTATTTTAGTTAAAATATTCAATATTGTCCACTGATAGATCAAAATGTTATAAATTATAATAATTGGTTAACGAATTTTATTATGAGTTATGACAAATTAAAACCCCCAAAATTATGTACGTAAACTACTCGTGTAGCAAAATTTTACAAGAACCATCCTAAAAATGTGCACCTATATACTTGTTAGATATCGTTGAAACCCTGTTTAACAGCTATGAACTTTGAAGGGAAAACTTGACAGTTGCATACCAACGATATTGAAACTTTACAAAAACCACATTAATTGTTTCAAACGTACAGGTTTATACAAGGGGAAAAATTGCAGCGCACATGGTAATTACGAAACAGCATATAACTATAATAATCGGAAAACGGACACTAACCTTTGAAGTGGAAAGAGAACGTCGAGTTCCGGAGCCGTTCCAAGATCGGTTCCACGGTGCCGAATGTGAGCGTTTTCAGGTTGTTGTATCTAATGTCGATGTACTTGAGCTTGTCAAGACTGTGGAACGTGCGGTCGTCGAGCGTAGTCAACCGATTCTCCGCCAAATTCAGTCTGTTGAGGCTAGGCAATCCAGAAAATCCTCTGCCGTCGATCGTCTTTATGAGATTGTCCTCGAGCACGAGCTCCTCGAGGCACACCAACTCGGCGAACGCGTCCGGGCCCACCCGGTCTAAATGGTTCGCCCGCATGTCCAGCCGCTTTACCGATACCAGCCCGAGGAACACGTACCTGGACAGCGACCCCGTCAATCTGTTTTCGGACAGGTCGAGCTCCTCCAACTTGCGTAACTGTTCGAACGCCCCCTCGGCAATGTAGCTGATGTTGTTCCGGTCCATGTACAACTTCCTGAGCGCGGGCAACCGGGCAAACACATCGTTGCTGATGCTCTCGATGGCGTTGTCACCGAGCGTGACAACGCGTAGGTCCTCCATGTACGCGATCGAGTCCCTGGCCAGCTGCACGATGTGGTTCCGGACCAGGGCCAAGTCCTGCAACCGGGAAAGATTGGCGAACGCGTGCGAATGCACGGTGCCGATATCGGCGTACACGATCTCGAGCGTCCGGAGCTCGGGCATCCGGGCCAACGCCTCGGTGGGCACGAATGATAGTGTCTTCGACGTGGTGCCGCGTACGTTGAACGTCAGTTTTGTCACGTTCGACTGTGACCCGAACTCACGCCACACTGCCGATTCGCGAGGTTCGCCGTCGTTGAACACCCAACAGTCGGCTGACGTGGCTGCGTAGGGCTTGGACTCGTCGCAGTAACAGAATAAGTTGATGGTAGTCTTCTGTTCGAGCGCGCACACATTTATTTCAGTGCTTCCTATATTCTTGTCGTCGTCCGAATAACTCCGGACGCCAGGCCTTTGGTTTTTCACTCTCCGGTTCGACACGTAACCGTGGTTGTCGTAGACCAGAACCGCGAACACTAACCACATGGCCACGAACTGTTGTTGACGCGCCATTTCGAAAATCTGAAAATAAAAAATCGTAAAAATCACAAAACTAGCCAATTATTTGCCATCTATATACACCGTATACAGTTTATCGGTGTATACTTGTAACGATTTTTAAGATTACTGACTCATTATTTATATGTCACTCTAAATAATTATTTTGATTAGGTAAACAGAACACAGAAACATTAAATACGAGGGTTTGTATTATTTACATAGCTGCAGTATAGGCAAGTTTTAAACAGTGAAGTGGAGACTGGTCGTCATCTCAACATATTTTACTTAATATTCGTTTTACTACAGCTACAATAACACACCTCGTGATAATCAAATTGTTCTACTCGTGCTCCGCTACTCTTGTGATCTTTATATTACCTACCCTCAGTACTTAGGGTTACTCGGGTAGTAGTACTGTAACTACTGTATAGGATTATTACTATTTATAATATTAAATACACCTTTATGTACGTTGTTATATATATATAACTTAGAAAACTTTATTTTATATTTACATCCGTCCAACAACCCGGTTCTCAAGACAGGTTTGTACAATAAGAATAGCAAACCAACTAATCCTTAACTGTATAAAATTAGGTAAAAATATAAACACCCGCTAAGTCCAAACAAAAAATAATAATTTGTTGTACACCTAATAAAAGAACATTCGGTGGTATGCATTAAAGACTATTGCCTTCGCCCGTCGATTGACCCAATTCGTTTCCGAGAACCAGCTAAGTACTCGAAACGCAGTAAACGGAAAAATGAATTTCCGATGATATAATATGCCTGTCGATCGGCGATGGCTCTTAAACGGTTTATATGGAATAACTCTTTTACATAATTTTCTTTAAGTGACTGTTGTCACGACACAATATTTGTTTTCTCTAAATATTAGTATACATGCGTATTATACTTACCCCCGGTGGTGTTTAAAGAATTTCCTGTCGTGCGAACGACTCACGAATAATTCACGAACAACAGCGATGACATAATAATGAAATATTTATATATAATATGCGTTTCTTATAGTATACGAATCGAAAAAGTATTACCTTACGGACGGTATATTTTATATATTATATTGGCTTTCTTTTTGTCTGTATGTTTTTCCCGTGACGTGTCAGAAAACTACCATACGATAAAAGCCACTGTGTATAGCTAACGAGTGGGGTGAATATATATATATATATACATATATGGATTATGGGCTACTTTTTTTCTCCTTTTTATTCGTTTCCGCCCCCCTTTCTCTGCGTTACCCATATACAATTGACCGCAGGCCCTCCTCACAAAAGGAATTGTTGGCCATTCCGTGCAGTTCGCCTTTCATATATATATATACATGCTCATTCAATATTGAAATGTCCATTGTGCTTTACGTGCTCCCTCGTGGTTTATATATACATTGTTTGTTTTAATATTGCAAGCGTTTCGCCTTTGGTGGGAATAAAAAAAAATTTACCGAGTTTGCATGGACAAAACGCACGAGTCGGCTATAATTCATGCGCGTGTAAACGTTTCGGTATAGTGCCGTTGCGTTACATCGAACCACTAGCGAATACATCTATATTAGTGAGATTGCAGAACACGTAGTATTTGCTACGAATTTACGAAAATTTGCCCCCCCCCCCACCCTTTTCCCCATCTCCCACCGATAACGCTGAATTACATTATCACACGATTGGAAAAATCTTAATTAGATGGGCGTCACCGACATAAGTGCTCTGCGAGTCCCCCCTAAGAGGGCGTGGCTGTCATCGTGTTGTAACCCGAGGGTCCTACTATATGGTGCCGGTGCTGAACAGAGGAGAACGGTAATTGGAAAATGATTCAATTATCATTCGGTTAGATACCGTTACCGTGGCTCACAGACTTCCCACACGATGATTTTGCTATTGCGTTTCCGTGGAATCAACGCATAAAATGTCAAAGCATTCCTCTAAGCTAACACAACGAAACATTTATGTTTATCATATAACCCGTATACTCTACTAGTATACGATAGTATTATTGATTAAAAATCACTCGTCCTTTTCGGCTCCAGTAGTAGAATATGTACACACGAATTCATCCAGTCCATAAATATAATTATAAACATTATTATATTGTTCAAACAAAAATACAAAATTGCAAATTAGATAGTGTATAATACTTAAACTTGAGGGTATTATGGTGATTGCCGGCCGCTTTTCATAAAGTCCTAGTTCAATGGAATAAGCCAAATATCATAGAACCTACCAGCAAAATAGTTTAAAACAACAACGGCATAACGTGCATACAATACGTGTCGTTTAAATACTATATATACAGTATATTTTATGACAATATTCTAACCGATAAACTACGCAGTATCGCCTATGACATAATACTGTTACGAATTTGAATAATTATTTATGGTGGTAAACTTTTCAAGAGATTTACTACGATATTATATTATTCACAAATTAATACTATACGTACTTGTATTTAAAATAATAAAATAAAGTAATACTAAATTTATATACCTAAGTATTTTTCAAAAAAAAAAAAATTTTAAAAATCACAAAGTAACACATTCGTTATTATATTGAAATTGTCGCTATACCGATCCGTTAATCATTGATTGGATGTTAAAAACGAAACGTATAAAGGTTACGTAAATAAAATAAAACGATAACAATCTCTTTTTATAAAACCGATTACATACTTTATTCAGTTATAATGTGGCTGTCCAAACTCTTATTGTACGAATATACTTATTTTTCATGACTAAGATTTACGGAACATAAATAAAATAACTTTGTTTTGATTATAAAAGACATATACAATATATATAGTCTAAAACTATCAGCTGCCTACAGTAATACTATTACGTTTGAACGTTACTCCAAAAATGCTTTAATAAACAAAATTATACATATTATAATGTTTTATAGAACAATAGTTTAAAAAAACTATTTATTTTTTTTCATTTTTCGATTTTTATAAATTTATTGTTCAACAATTTCAAATACATTTACTACTTGTGCACTATAATTTAAACAAGTTAAAAGCGTAATACACACCGTTTAATAAGTAGGAATATCCAATTTTTCATGAGCTTTTAAAATAATAATAAAAAATGAACAATACATTTTGTTTAATGCCAATAATACTATAAATTTATAGTTGTGTACGATAACATTAATATAATTATTCCTATAATATTTATTTATTTTTTTTAATTATTAGTTGTACAATATATAAACTTTGCTTGTGGCCTGGTGTGGTCGGTGGTTGACCTTAGTCACTAATGTGTTCTCAAATGGGTGACCATACGAGTTCTTAGTGACGAATCCATGGCACACACATATACACATACGTGTTCCAACCCGACAAACCAAACCTTACAAATAAATCTTATACAAAAAAAAAACCTACTGTAGTACTGTTTCTATCCACAGCTTATAACCTTAGTTTCGGGCTTAAATAAGATCGATAAAAAAAAACATTGCTAGTTAGTTATATTATCAATATGAATATAGAAATAATTGGTTCAATGTCCGATTCTGTCAATATTTAAAATAGGTAAACCAAAAACCTAATATAATAAGCAAGTAAATATTTAAATGTCTTTAAAACTATATTACCATGTATAAAACTAGGGACTTTGTGCTTAAAAATCACAAAATATACATATATGCATTTAAATCCTAAAAATATGCGAAACCACTTAAATTTACATTAAAAGAAAACTAATCATTTAAATTAATATGTCTATAAAAAAAAAAAAAGATATATTATACTGATAGATTTCTGCGTTGACTACACGAAAAAACTAGAAAACGCGTATAAAATATATACTTTTATATCCGATTCACAATACAATATCATATACTATTATACAGAAATTATAATAAAAATTAAGTACATAAAAATGAATGAATTTACTCAAACAATATAATATTCAACGAAGTATAATTTTTAATATAGGTATTACAGTAAAACCTCTCTATAACGGAATCGTTTGGGACCAATATTTTTTCCGTTATAAAGAGTTTTCCGTCATAGAGAGGTAGAAAATTATATATTATTTACACCGGGACTATTGACATTTTCCGTTATAAGGAGGATTCCGTTTAATAGAGGATCCGTTATAGAGAGGTTTTACTGTATATTATAACTTACAAATGTCTTTTTCTTTGTTATACGTATAAAATTTAATACAATTTGATTTAATACAGACACTAAGAAAAGAAAATAATTTAGGTATATATTTATTTCAAATATGAAACAGTACGTTTATATGAAATATGAAAATATATTACAACAGGCAGACGCAGAATAATTATACTACATAATAACAAAAAGGTTATTATATCACTTGCAAAAATATAACCTTACTACAGTCATACTAATTGGTTATAAAGATTTACGTGTTGAGGTGATTTGAAGTTTAAGATGACTAACTCATTTTTATCTTTGCATGTCACACTTTAACTAAATAATTATTTATTAATTTAAATTTAAACACTATCCGTACGTAGATAAAAACATTAATATGTCAATTGTTTAAACTTCTGACTACTTAATACTACTAGATATATTGTTATAGATAAAGACTAAATTCTTATAAGTTATTTTTTTATCTTTAGATTCAGACTTACGAAACCTATTTAAATGTTAAAATATAATCAAAATTCTTTAACCGTATTTTTTTTTTATTATTCGGTATTAATAAAATTATAACGACTAATAGTTAATTTATAATTAACAGTACGTTAATTTTTAAATTAGGAATTATGTAACGATTTCTAACTATTTTATTTTGGGTCTATGAATTAATAGTCAAATACTTAATAATACAAATATAATTTTTAAAATATTCAGCTTTAGTTCCCTTATTTTACTAATAATTATATTTTATCTTACTCTTATCTTCATAATATTTTAATCTCGGCTCGTATAGCGTTTATTGACAAAGACCAATAGTTTTTTGGATGATAATTGATAATTTATGTCAATAAAATATAGTCATGTTATAAACAGAAGCTATATAT